TCTACCTATTGTTTGAGTCATGTTGGCAGCACTGCTGTCCCCACATTATCCATTATGAAAGAAAAAGAGAGTGGAGCTGGCATGAAAAGAAGGCCCTGTGCCATGCAGCTCTAACAAAAGGGATCCCACACATGTGTGCCGTTTACTGGCTGAGATCCTTGGGCTGAAGAATAACAGGCCCATGTAAAAGCAAGGTACTGTAGGATTTGTGGCTTTGTCCTGATTTTTAGGTGTAATGGCTGATGCAACAACAGTAAATTGTCTCTATTTTAGATAACAACAAATATTGGCAAGAAATATGTTTATCTACTAAATATAACCCCAATATGACCTGAAAATGCATAGAGAATTGGTAGAGACTGGTAAGGCATTATGGCTATCTCTAATGTGCATGTTTGGGGGCTCTTGTACCTGTCTCTGGTCCTAAAACCTCTGGAAAGGTTCAACTTGTTCATTAGACATCTCTAGTTTTAGCATCCACTTCAAAATGAAGCTCTGCAAATGCTCACTTTTGAATAGTGAGTGCATTTCATTGCTGTAGTAAATGGCTGTGTAGTTTCTCTGCTGTTATTAACAGCTGTCTGCAGTTGAAGCTTCCATTAGAGGAATGGATGTACACACCTGAAAGCAAGTGCACTGTCATTTTTCTGCTTACCAAGCATAACTGATGCTTATTTCTGAGTAAAGAACATTAAATAGACGTCAGATATTTCTTGACAGTGTCCCATTAACCACAGTGCCAAGCATATAACCTTGCTCAGGACCTAGTGTACCTGATCTAAATGGCACACAGTTAGCAGGGCTGAGGCTAAATATAAAAGGGTCATGCAGTGCAAGACCTTTGTACAGAAACAGCTGCTTGCTGTTTGTCTCTGAAGAACAGGTAAACACTCATTTGATTTCAAGTTCACTGTGACTGAGGGGGACAGAAACACTCACATTGGCAGACCGAGTGTAGAAGAATGTGAGTCCTGTGATGCTTGCGGGTGAGGCATCCAAACCTCGCTCACAGCTTCCACCAAGTCTAGCCCCACAGGCCTGTTAAGAGAACTGCACAACACATTCATAAACAAAACAGATTTATAAAGGTTTATAAAGTGAACACATAAGAGTTGCACCATGTGGAGCTACTTTGCAGTCTGGTGTCACCTAGAAGCATCACAAGCTTATAACTGACTGTGACCTTTCACCTGCCTACATGAATTAGTGTTGATTGCATTAGGGATTTATCTTCTAACCTGTTGCTTTGCAACTGCAAAGAAAGAAAAGTTGACCAAAGATTACGTGAGGAGTAAAATAACCAAGTATAGACTAAAATGCTTTTCCAAGGAAGCACTGTATTTTTGTTGAACTGCAGATTGAAAAAAAATACTGGGTCACAAAACTAATTTCAACATCTCATTTACATACATCTTTTATATGCTGCTCAAAACAGATTTAAACCAATAAAAGTGGATAATTAAGAACACAACAAAATCATATCATTAAATAAAACTGAATCTGTCAGAGAAATTCAGAATTGTAACATATTAATATTCTGTGCAGCATGATAACTGAACACAAATAAGCTGATCCTTCATTTACAAGTGAGGTACAAGGCAGGCTACTTATTTCTTCAAAGCAAATAGAGCAGGTTTAAAATCATTATTACCATACACTTTCCCTTTTCTTCAGATAACTGGAGTCAGCAGCAATAAGTGTCTAATTAGCTCTATAATACCCTTCCTTTCATGTCTCTCTGAAATGGCTGCTTGCTTTACACAAATAAGCTGAGGTCAAGATTATCTTTAGGTAGGACAGAACAAAAGTCTTTTCTCATATGGCAGAACAGATACCTACATAAAGATATTGGCAAATTGAAATGACTTCTACCACAAACTGTAACTGAGATATTACTTGTTAGTGTAGGATATTAGAGCCAAAGCAATGGATCTTGCCTGGGGCCTATATATTTGCAGGGCTGTTAGGATAAGAAACAGTTACATTTGCAATTTATACCATGATACTGTTCAACAACATTCAATGTACAACAATAAACTGCTTGAACATCATCCTTCAGCCAGCTGATACAGCACATCTCTACAATATGCATAAAAGATTTGATCAGCTTCCTGTGATGCTGGAAAGTGCTCATTCAAAACCTTTCATCTCCTCTGTTATGAAATGGTCGATATCAGAAAGCTCCCCCTTCTTCTAACCTTTCAATCGACTACAATGCAAAGTCATGAAAGCCACTATGTCATTGCAGATAAGTGTTAAAGTGAAATACAGCAAATGAAGATCACAGTAATCTGCACATGATAATTATAGTTCAAGCAGTGTTTTAACAAATATACAAATGTTTAAGCCTTGTTTTGCCATAATATTTTAAATTACAACCATTACTTTTAGTTTAGAATGATTAGACTACTCAAACAACTATCCTAGCATGCCCTATCACAGGTCAAGATGTATGCACTTGAATGCAGGCACTCTGATCCCCTGATTCAAAGCTGCTCCTCTTCCCTCTCGGGGATTCTGATGGCTGAAAATAGCATGGCTTCAACTCAACTGACTTAACAGTTCCTGCGAATCATGGCGGTTCCCTATTCTCAGTCTCTCACATTCCTAATATGGTGAGGAAGATGGTCCAGGCTACCAGCTTCTCCAATACTATCGAGAGTTAACTATCCTGTCACCACTTAAGAGTAGTTATTTGGATTGATGGATTCAACACAATCCTGAAAAACACATTTGCAAATATCGGTTTCAAATTGCACCTCAATCATACCTCATACCTGCACTTTTGTTAAACATGGCAAAAAAACTTCTCTAAATCCAGAATGCAATTGCAATACTTTATTTCCAAAAACATCATTAATACATATATTAAACCCAAACATGAACACTAAGTGTAAATTTGAGGGAAGATTAGGTTATACAATGCAGTGCAACCCTGTGAACTACAGAGTTGTGATCTATAAAATCATTTTATCTGTTGCAACTGATATTCAAATCTACTTAAATTATTAATTACAATTTACAAATACAAAACCTGTTTAAATGTTTCGTTTTAAGGATTATAAACTATAACTAATATAAAAATATACAACTAATTCAGATCTTTGTAAATGGGAGAGAAAACAGCTTAGTATTTAACACTTACATAAATACAGAGGCAAAAGAGAAATTAACTTCTTTCACTAAGGGTCTCAGGCCCTCCCCGCCCCTCAAATCAGCTGACATCATCACTGACGACAGCGCCTGCTGAGGACGATTAGCTGCATTTACAGGCCCCCTGACAGAAATTAAACAGACAAGTTTAGCATATCATTGAACTAGGAAATTAATTTAAGAAAAACGCAGTAAAAAACAGTCAAATGCAAAACAAATCAAAACCAACAAAAAGTGGGGGGAGGGAAACAACAGAAAAGTACTAAAAATCCCTTCTGCCTCCTGTCTCTGAGTTATGCTAACTTGACTCTGCTTTATTTCATGAGTCATTTAACGGGCCTAAAATAAACTGGAAAGTTTGCTTTAGTTCACAGTCATCTTGTTGTTGTTCAGCTGAGCTGATATTTTGAAATCAACGTTGTAAGCTTAATATGTTACTTAGCATTGCAGAGAATTGGAAGGATCAAGGAAGATTCAAAGCAGTAGTTTTTGATACAAAAATCTGAAGAACCAATAATAAAAAAATAATCAAACTGTATCTCCATCTCCAAAGCTCCAAATAGCCTAGGTTATGCTAACTTGACTCTGCTTTATTTCATGAGTCATTTAACGGGCCTAAAATAAACTGGAAAGTTTACTTTAGTTCACAGTCATCTTGTTGTTGTTCAGCTGAGCTGATATTTTGAACAACATTGTAAGCTTAATATGTTACTTAGCATTGCAGAGAATTGGAAGGATCAAGGAAGATTCAAAGCAGTAGTTTTTGATACAAAAATCTGAAGAACCAATAATTAAAAAAAAAAAATCAAACTTTATCTCCATCTCCAAAGCTCCAAATAGCCTACTCAAGAATTCTATACAGCAAAACATTCTTTGTTAAACCTAAAAAAAATATTATATATTTTCCATCCCTTAGTTCAGTGGTTCCCAATCCTGGTCCTGGAGAACCTTTCGTTGTGAAAGCGAAACTACTTTGTTTGGTCTTCCAAAAGAGGATGATATCTGCTTCGTCATGCCTGGAGCTGATCCGTGCTGGTTGCTGAGGAAATACAACATCTTTTTGCTGTGGATCGCCGGATCGGAGTCCAGCTCGGGGTCGTCACATGTGGTTGCCGCAAGCCTCCTCCCTGGCTTCCAATGATTTTATCATTCATCGGCTGGGAAAATGCTCTGAAAATGATCCCAACAATATTGTCCCTTTGTGTTATCTTTATAGTTGTGGTATGGAAGTTTGAAAGATTTCTAAAAAGATTTTTAAAACTTTATGGTTATAGTTATCTTTCTTGATTCTCAAGTGACTTAAAGCCACAATAGTGTTAATTCATGGCTCAATCCTTTTGTGAACTGAACCATCAACCTCTGGTTTCGTACCTTAAGCAGTATCCACTATACCACACCACCCCTTGCTAATGTGTGGTCAAAGCATTCTGTCACACAGATGATCTGAACCGAAATACAGAACAAACCATTAGTTACTGGCTTAGATTTTAGGTTTTTCCGATTGCTTAAAAACGTCACCACAAAAGCATTTAGTAAAGATGGACATTAAAACTTTTATTATTAATATATTCCAGCCACAACAATAAAATTTAACAAATAATCACTAGAAAAAAACTCTTCTTCCGTCAGCTGTACAATACATACAGTATCATTAGACTGGCTGCCAACAATAAAACCCCACTACAGCAATATATGTAGTGTTTTCAGCAGCATTTCACAAAATTAAAACATTATACATATGTACACATCCACATCAAATTCTCAACAAATTCACATATGTACAGTACGTTTCTGTGACTGAATATAAACGTCAACTTTGTTCCTCCGTTTAAAGATTCGTTTAAAAAAAAAAGAACTGACCGAAGTTGACAGTGGGTAGCTAGATTCAAGATTTAGGGCATACATTTAAAAATCGTAAAAAGCACATTGTTTTAAAATGTAACTTTCAGCCATGTAGTTTGATTTTCCTCAACAATGCTACCACTGTATTGCACACTGGGATGACAACTGACTCACTGTGGATTTCTTGTTGCAGTTTTCACTGCTCTGGAGATACATCCAACCATGTTAAGTAACAGAGGTTTGGAGGTATGCTACATCTGACAGACATTTTAACAAGTGATGTGACTGTCTAATAAAGCTCAAGCATCCTTCCCCTATCATTGCCTCTCCACAGAGGATTATCAATTTCAAGACATACCCTTAAGTGGCTTGATGGCCTCTTGATCAGGTAAAAAGGGAAATTCTGGCTTCTTTTCCCTCATAGCCACTAACACAGAAAGGAATGCACTTTGGTATGTACCAAATGCCCTGGATTCATAAAGTACAAGAATATTACAACAGTCTGAGGTAAAATATTAAAATGTGTTCTTATTTCTATTGTAATAAAATTAACCAAATGTATCTCCTCAAATACTTCGATGTTAAGACAACATGAATGCAGTGCTGAAGACACTTGTTCTATGTCACTGTAGTAATTGTTGTCTTTTACTAAGACATCCCTGTTGGAAAAGGGCCCAAATGTTATTTCTCCTCTCAAATCATAGTATAAAAAACATTGAGTGTCCAAACTGCATGTACAACATCAACTGTGCGGCCACTTATTCCCAAGTCCCATTTAATGAGGTTTGGGAAGTATCTTTGGGCGATGCTCAAACATGTGCAAGAGAATCACCATGAGTCTTTCAAAGTAAATGGAAGGGAGAATCGTTGTTTGAAATAAAATGAATGGCATTGATAACCAAAGGCACATTGTATTAAACCTAAGGGCACAATTATTCCACACTGCTGTCAATTCACAGAACAATAAAAAAAAGTGTAAAGTACATTGTGAAATGCCTGCTGATGTTAGCAGGTAACTTCTGTATCTATAAAGCACTATGGGTGTCCAAAGGGGCCCAAACCCCTGTGCAGTAGGCCTGGAGGGCACTGTGTCAGTCTCCAGTGGGGGGGGGGTGAGGGATCAACATGAGCATTACAGCTTTGCTGGTCTCCCTGACAGCCCATAGTTTGACCCACATCCACACCCCAACAATCCGTGACTGCTTGAATGTAAGCAGGACTACCTCCTGCTAGAGTAGGATTTCAAAGTAGTGGCAGATATATTTCTTTGTGCATTACACCATAAATCACTCAATTGATATACAAGCCACATTCAGGCCACTGGTTCCACCTATGTTAGCTCTTCATTGACACAATAAAATGAAATAAACTTATTAAGCTTTTACACCCAAGTCAGTCGAATTATTCTTTCCATGTCATAAATGCTACAAAAGTTGCCAGCCTTTTTTTTTTCAAATCCAACTGTTCAGGATTTGGGGAAAACGTGTTATTAATTATTTATTGTTAAAAAAGGGAACAACCTTTTAGAATTTTAACTTTGGCCTAATATTAGCAAGTCCACACAATGATTATGTAACAATATGAGGGTATGCAATGTAGCCATCTGTATTAGTGGTTATAAATTTGATTCAAGATTTGAATCACGTGTCATGCTCTGCCATAACATTGTCCACCTAAAATATTTATCTTTATTAGCATCGTTACTTGCTTGCATTCAGGTAAATGCAATGTCCTGCCTTCCTATTCTTCAATTCTTAGTCCTAGTCAATGTAAAAAAGCATTCACTTTAGAGACAAAAATATATCTAGACTCTAACTTGCAAACTAACCAGTCTTCGCTCATTGTAATTACACAACACTGTTTTGATCCACGAGCATTAAGTTTCAAGCTATAAAAAATTTATAAATAAAAAAGGTAAAGCACCATTTTTTTCCTTCCAGGACAGTACTTCCTGTAAAAGCAACTCTTCCAGCAAATAGCTTATAATTACATTAACGTACACCTGTCAAGTACTACTGAGAACAGTATTGTTTCTATCAAACCACATAAATTCCTTTAAATTTGCCATGAATCTACTGTAGTGTAGACCACTCTAGACACTCTCTCTTTTCCTCATTTAATTTCTTTAAGGAATGTCAAGAGATTTATAGGCACAAACCAAATCTATCATGTAAACATTGTTTATTTCTGCTACCTCATAACAGTCTGCAACATCCACTCCCCATTATGACCGGTTTCTCTTACCATAGTATGTTCTCTATTCTTGATATTGACAACAATGATGCTGGGAAATGCAACAAGCCTCAGATCACATAGCTTTTAGTAAAATGCATTTTGAATCCTCAGCCATTAACGCACTATTTATCTGACAGGATCTGAGGGTGGTGATTAAAATTTCAGAAGCACACAAAACAATGTATCCTACCATTACTTCATTGTAGCAAGGCCATTTACTTTTTATGCTACAAGATTAGGTATTAAACCATGTGGGACTTTTTGTTATTATAGACCAGAGTGTATGAATGCTCATTCAAAGCAGCATTCAACACAGCCCTGAGATAAAAACTTAAAAGTGTTGTTCCCCCTTTCTTGGCCATTTGAGCTTTCCTAGAAAAAAATCCAACTAAAGGTGCTACGAAGCAGTTCATAAATGGTGGATATGCGTTAACGACTCTTATTCCTAAAAATGCCACACTTCTGAATGCTCAGCTTTGCACAATTTCCAATATTGTAATTTCAAAGAAAAAAAGAAATTAGTGTTCAGCTAACTAATTTTGGCAACACTGTCCTTTGTTGTATATTCCCATTGGCATCAGTCATTTGTGCCAGGTTAGTCCTTAATTTTGTGGCTGAGCCAGAAGGGGGAGGTAATTTGGAGATTGAAGTTATAGCACCAGTACCCTCATTGAGCCGCTTTACAGTGGTTTTCTCCCCAGTGGGAGGTTTTGGCAAGCGTCTTCTGAGCCATGGGTGGCGGAGGGCCTGACTAGGAGTCATGCGCAGGGATGGGTCCCACTCTAGACACTGTTTGAGAAAGTCCAAGAAGAGGGGGTCGTCACAGCCCTTAAGTGCTGTCACCCAGTCCCTGCTGCCTGGTGGACCTCTGAGCTTACCCCTACGTGATCTTCCCCCATTCAACACCACTGAGCCATCAGGTAAGGTCGTGACTGTGCAGTAACGGGGGTATCCCTTTGAACTGACAAAATTTTTGGCTCTCTTAGATGAATCCAGTAGCTTCTGGGAGGGCATACCCAGCAGCTCTATGACACATGCTAGTTGGTCCCCTTCATCTTCTCCAGGCAAGAGAGGGTACCCTGTAAGTAATTCCGCTAAGATACAACCTAAGCTCCACATATCAATTGGGATCCCATATCGAGCACCCAGAATGACCTCTGGGGCCCTGTAGAAGCGTGACTGTATGTAAGTGTAGACCCGTTGATGCTCGTAGCAGCTGGAGCCAAAGTCAATCACTTTTATCCCACTGCGCCCCTGCTGCTTCAAAAGGATATTCTCAGGCTTGAGGTCGCAGTGAATGATTCTGTTCTTGTGCAAGGAGTCGAGACACTGCAAGATGGAGTGTGCAAACTTGCGCACTAGTGGCAAACTAAAGCCCTGAAACTTGTTTTTCTTGATAAGCTCATAAAGGTTCATGCTGAGCAACTCGAACGTCATGCAGATATGGTTGCGGAATGTGAAGTTCTCCAGCATGTGGATGACATTCATGGTGGAGTCCTTATCCTGTTTGCGCAAGTGTTCCAGAATGCGAATTTCCTCAGCTGCTTGGCGATGGAATCGCTTTTCGTTCCGTACCATTTTCAGGGCCACTTGCTGGTGGATCTTGTGGTCGTAGGCCTTCACCACCTGGCCAAAACTGCCTTTACCGATAACCTTTAGTACTTCATACCTATATGCTATATGGTCATGGGGCACATGAATGTAGGAGCCCTGATCATCATCATAACCTCCATTGTTTGAACCCCCAACTACACCTTGTCTTTTCTTTGCATTTGGACCTATAAAATAGATCTCAGGGTAGCTGAAGATCTCTTGGTGTTCAAACACTGAAAGCTTAGACATGTACTGTTTCATAGCCTGCTCAGGAGTCGAAGGTGCTGGCTTGGGTTTGCTTTCAGTTGATTTGATGGAAGTTGAGCTGCCTTGTCGACACTGGCTGCTTTCTTGCTGCTTCTCCGGCATGGCCAGACCTACGGTTGTCAACCCATTGGGTTGTGCAGTCAACACTGTCCGTTTGTTACTGTTCTCCTCGAACAGCTGTTGAACGTGGATCTGCTGGTGATTCCCGATGTGCAGATGGTCATTCATTGTGTGCTTATTGCCTCCAGCCTGGATAAGGTAAAACAAAAACAACATGCATCATTTGAGGATTGATTCCAAAATAAATTAAGAGAACACAGATGATATAACGAACCAAATTTAGATTGGACACAAAACAGACTAGAGCTATAAAATCTTTTGAAGGTATTGAACATTCAAGTCATTTCAACCCTGTCAATGCTGATGGAAGAACCTAGGTCTATTCTACTGTAGCAAGAATATTCAAAGCAGTCTCTTAAAGTGTAAGGTGAAAGGGAGGTCACTTCAGGCCAGATAACACAATTGTAAGAATGACTAACAATTTTTCCATGATTCTCTACAATAGGCTTGCCTATTGTATGTGTATTTGCATACACTATTAAAAAAGAAGAAAAGCCTAGGCAGGGTACAACTAAATGCTCTTTGTCTATTCTTATTGGATCAAGAGGAATGAAGCTTCCTAAACTAAAGACCAGATATCAGCACACACTCTACATATCTACACAATCTTCTCACATAATCAAATAAAAATGTTTTTTTACTACTCTTGCAAATGAATCAATGTGTTCATGACTGCATGGTTTGCATAATTTACTTCAAAATGTTACATTACTGGTCTAAAAGATTGGTGTCTGAGGTGTAGAGTACAATTTCTTAACCTTTCAATTCAAAAGCTATTTGTTGTTATACCTTGTTTTTAGGATGGGGAAATCATACTTGTGCACAAAGCTATAGAAGGCGAGTTTTTTGTTTATTCAAGGACATTAGACATGAATTTCCTGCTTTCCCGAATCTCCTGCCCGGCAAGATGTTTGCTTCCTTGATAATGTGATTACCTCTGCATCTTGTTTTTACAAGGACATCCTGTTGCTTCAGTCAGACATTTGTGGCAACCTTCTCATTCTATACAAAAGCAAAAATGCTTAAAAACGTTTGAACATGACTCCCCTTGACATGGCGGCTGTCCTGTTATTTCAGACTGATAGTTTTAATGGATTAGTGTTTATTTTTGTGTTTTGAATGGTAACGCTCATAATCCACTTAATTGTGCTTTATTTTCTAATCTCAGCCATGCTGTATTCACATGCAGAAAGAGTGATAATCTCCAAAACTAAATAACATATCAGGGCAATACAAGACTTTTGATTTTTACAGATCCTTTTCATCTCAACCTATCTCTAATCCCCAGATGGTCAGTGCTGATGTTTCGACACCTCTGACTGAAGATAAAGAGTAATACACAGCTTGAACTCTAAATCCAAGGGCTCTGATACAATCTGCTCTTAAAACACTCAATATAGAGCCATATTCCTTTTTCCCTGCCTCACACAAGACAAGAGCAGTGACAATGATGTACTGTTGAACAACAAGGCTCTAGTTTAGAAAACTGTATCATTCAAATATAAATATAAATGTAACCAAAAGCTAATCCTAAATCAATAAACCAATCTTTAGGTGTCACACAATAAATCACACCGATTCAAATGCGCAAATGATATAAAGCATAGATTTATGGATTAGTGAAGGCAGGGTAGTCTAAATAATTTACCAGCCATCCCAAAAAAAGCACTATTTCTAAAGGAACCATTTTCAGAGATTATGCATCATACACAAGATACTCTCTCATCTTGTGTAGGAACTAAGAGTGAATCTGAATAAAGCTTCAATTTAATTCTTCTATTGTACTTAGCTGCCCTGTCGGATAATTCTAACATGATCTGGACAGGTGGGGGGTCATGGAAAGGGCATGCTTGCTGACAGCTGTAGAGGACACAACTGGAGCTGATCAAAAGACACATTTGGTCTGAGAGATCATTCTAATGCTCACTTACTCTGCAAAATACATATAGCCTACTGCATGATAGAAGTGCTAAAAAGCTGTGATTCAACTGCCCTTAATGAGATTAACTGGACTTTGAAAGGTACGACACTCAAATTTAACAGGACAGAGATTTTAGACAAAAGTCCCCAAGTTTCCTACTAAATGCCATACATAATTTGACTTAGTAGACAATAGAAAAGCATCAGAAATTAATTTTAATATCTTATACATAATCAGCCCTATATACGATATACAAAATCAGCTTTAATTTGTTGATGTAATATGTTGCATTACCAAGTAGGAATGAGCCCTTCAAAATTACTGTTAAGTTTAGCATCATCACATCATAGCTCATCATCACACCTAATTACCATGTAAGTAATAAGCAAGGGCAAGAAACCTGAAAAAATCCTAAATGGAAGCAAAGCAAGGTCTGCATGGTCTTCACTTATTCACTGAAACAGGGCATACATATAGACATTAATGTATTTGCAACTTATCAGTTAAATGTCATTAAATATACATGTTGGTTTAAGAGCTAGATTTGCAAATACAATGCTAAGATGTAATTTGATAATAACATATAGCAAGAATTCTGTCTTGTAAGAGAATGCAGACATACAAATGCACCTACCATGCAAGCCTATGTCTATATTTACCCCTATTAGAATGACAGCTAAATAAAGAACTCCGGGGTACTTAGTCATAAATGGCATTGACCCAATTCTTGTATTTAATTCAGAATAACATGTCAAATACACTTATATGAACTGCAATTCTTTAAACTTTACTAATAAACAAATTATTTGACTCATCCATTATGAGCTTATTATGAGCTTATATATTAGATTATATATCATGTTTATTATTCTAATACCATGCAAAATATTATTGCCATGCAGATTCAATGGATTATAATTTTGGATGTATAGTTTTTACATAAGGAAATTCACTAGATGACAGATTTTAGCTGTGCCTGTTGGCGTCACACTGATGGCCTGAGCATTTCCCATCCCCCACTAATGGCAACACACAATACATCAGCCAATGACTCTGTGAGAGAGCCAGTGATCATTACTACTGCTCATATTCCTTTCCTCAAAAAGAATGTGTTTTGTTTACCAAAACAAGGGGTAAAGCATGCATTTTGGTTTTCAAAATGTTGAAATTACTGTCAAGGTCTTCTTACTACTGTCTCTTAAAAAATGCATACCTTACAAATAAAGTGCTGATTTTGTCCAACCACATCCAATATTCCCCTGTCTTAATCATCATCAAATGTAATTTTTAAGTTTATATACGTGTCAGACTTTCTTTTCTGTCAGAACCTTTGTCATGCAATGCCAGTGTAACATCTCACAATATTGACACAATATGGGCCATTACTTCAGGGCTCTGAACAACACATGCTATAAAGCATATTGAAGTGGGTGATAGGGGGCCGGAGAAAAAAAGACTTTAATAAAAATATATATTTTAGGGCTGTCAAAGTTAATGTGTTATAACAATTATCTATCTTGTTGTAACAATAACCTATCTTGCTCACTGTGACTTTCTTGAGGAACTATTCTTTGTAAAACTGCAGTCAAACACAAACTTATTGCAAAAAGCACAGTATAAACAGATTCATATTGAACTGAAAATTGTTTTCTTCAGGTACATATACCTCAAACACCAATCAAAAAAAGTGTAGGAAAAACACATGCAGTAAACTAAATACTAAGTAAATATTTCCCATATATTTTAAATTGTTTGAACTCAGTACACGTGACGATAAAAAAGCCAAATAATTACTTAATAAAAAAAAAAAAATACATTATGAGAACAAAGAAAGGGACATGAATGGTGGAAACTGCAAGCAAGAAGGTTAATTTTACCGTGAGAGAGTTGCTGTTCCTGAGTGGTGGTAATGTGACGGGTGATGCGGCTTCAGTCCCTGCTCCAGCTCGGGGACCCCCGATGCCCAGTCCTGGGGAAGACTGTAGCTGGCAAATCTCACCCCCTTTGCCTGTTGAAAGTCAGTAAAAACGTATTTGGTAAAATGTTTACACAACTGCCTGTCAGTATTTTTAAAAGGCAAAAGAAAACTATAGCCCCGCGACGTTACATGCATTTATACATAAAATTTATAAATCAATTATGAAATTTAAAGAGGACCGGAATTATACTTAAACCATTTAACAACCACACAACAAACGATAACCAACATTAGCACAACGAAAACCTGTAATACAGACACACGAGCTATAAAACATTACATTTAAAAAAATTTCATCCAAAGTGCTTGTTTTTCTATATCTAGTCTCTATAGCAACAGTAATAATTAACTAAAAAATACAAAAACGGCCGCTTTTCCAATGCTGTTTCCGGGGCTTATAGCTACTGTACTTGACCATACAATCAACGGCGAGCAATGAAACGAGAAGCTGCGAGCCTTACAAGCGTTATGGAGCATTTAAATAGGATAAATAATCCATCTTCTCAATTCAGTCTGGAGAACAAACGAGACCGGCGTCGCCCTCCTAGATCCGGGCATTGGGCTCCTTACCAATCGGGTAGACAGCAGCAGCAGCAGCGCAGGGTTTCTTGGTTAACATGGCCGCTGGAGAATCACACACACGCGCAGAAAAGCCACTTCAGAGTCTCTCCCCTCCTCCCTGTGATCACCCACTCTGACTGCTGCTACTCCAATCAGCTACATCCAGACCTGAGCGAGCAAACTCTAGGGGCTGCTTCATCAAACGCTACCCGATTTCGCCTTATCATCGCTTGGAAACGTGCAAAACAAACAAAGACGCACGCATGGCTCTGTACTGCTCCGCACTTTTGGGCCTAGGAAATTCTGCACAGCCCGTGGCATTCTCTCTCTCACACACTCACACACACTAACCGGAATATACTTTAAACCGGTTTAGGGTGTTGTCTGGACTTTTCTATCAGCCTCGTTCGCCTCCACCTTCTTAACGCTCCCCTCCCCGTGCGGCAAGCCCCTTTCACATTTATCAATGAATAGTGTCTATAAATGCAATAGTGACACTTATCTTTTACAAAGGCACTGATAATCATTAATTTGGTACTGGTATTTACTACAGATGTGACAATTGTCTATTTACGGTTACATTATTCCTTATTTTTAGTTAGTTGCAATTACTCAAAGCTTTTATAGTAGCCTATTTCCTGCTCACCTTAGTAAATTAATGAATGAATGGGCCCCACTTTATATTAGGTCGCCTTAACTACTATGTATTTACATTTAAATGAATAATTTGATTCAATGCACTTATTGTGTACATTCATGTTTTTACATTGTACTTATATTAAAAAAAAAATACCTATATGTAGTTACATCTGTAATTAATTTCTGAAATTACATTTATAATTACACTGTTGACCCATCCTTTACACCTTAACCCACCCTTAAACCTACCTAAACCACAAAACCTGTTCCTATCCCACCTCAATAGCAGCAAACGTGTTTTGCAATACAATATGACCACAATAAATAATTGTACTTTTTTTTTTTTATATGTAAGTACATAGTAGTTAAGGCCACCTAATATAAAGTGTGACCAATGAATGAATGAATGCATGGATGATACAAAAAGTAAGTCTACTACTGAAATAAAAACAGAAGTTGTCATGTTAAAATGGCTTGCCATAGTCCCAAAGGACTCCCAAAGTCCACCAATCAGAGTCCCAAACAGAGCACAAATTCACTTAGTCACACACCTGATGCCACCATTTGTTTACATGTGCATACTGTACATTTTATGAGAAAGCATTTTTTTCATGCTTTCAGTCCTGTTTCGATCACACAATAATAGCGTGCAATTTTGAACCCCATCTACTTTCACTGGTAACATTTGTGATTAAAATGTACTTTTGAGTTTGAAGAGTCTAAGAAAAGAGTTGGTATTTCACAGAGAGTCAGATTAACTATTAACTATTTCTTGATGTGAACATTCTTACATGGGTGTGTGGTAATCACATGAACAGATCTGTTTATTTCTAGTTTGCCCATTTGAAAGATGATGTCTGGTAAAAGCTTTATAAAAGGTAACACCCAGGTTGCCTTAAATAATATTACATATACTATTGCCTTATCATTTGTAACTTTCTGCTGTGTTTTATTGACCAACTGACTTTTTTTTTTACCACTGGTTATAAATTAACATTTTAAATTATTAATTTACTTTTACACTTTCAGCACGTTATTTTTGCATGACAGTTGAATTTACTGTCCACTAGAGGGTGGAGTGCGTGCGGCATAACATTACTGTCTCCACATGTACTGTACATTTAGTTCCCAAACAAGAGCCATGTATGGACATATAGGATTATGATGCTTAATTTGATTTCTTAATTTAATTTTAGGACAGTTGCATCAAACACAACACTACACAAAAATCATGTCCCAGATTCCTCTGACATCACAAACTTCAAACATCGCAGCTGCTGGTAAATTTGTATAAATGCATCACTACAGATAAAAAAAGATAACATCCAACCTTTCACATTCTACGGTGATTAGGTTATATGTGATGTGATTGAATCTGTGTATTATCTAAGAGACATCAAGCACAATAACAATGATTGATCTTATTCCTCTGAGTACTGTTGTGGTTTTGCGTTTCATCAACTCAGATAATCCTATTTCAGTCTTTTAAAAGTGGTATATTCCAAAAGATGTGATTTTTGATAGTGATCATGTACTCCTATATCTGTGAGTATCAGCAGTTTCAGGCTCAGCATTTAAACATAAAAATATTATCTCAGTTTCAATCTACTAGGCATGACAGAAAAAAAAATACTTCTTGCACAGCACTGAATATGAGGCAGTTATTTTAGAGAATTTACTATCGAATCTGGCTTAACTATCAGCCTCTAAAACAAACAAAAAAGCAAGGTTCAGCATACAAAATGTACACTCTCTAAAAAAGTAAAATGCAAAATAAAAACAAATTACAATCATCTCCCCCATCCATCCCCCCAGGAAGCGAGCTAATGTAGTGTCACATGTCAGGCTGTGGTCAGAAGAGAGCAAGGTATGCTGGGATGGCTGTCATGGCATTTGTCACTGCGGTTACTGGGAAACATCAGGAGGCACTATGTAAGGAACTGGGACTCTGATAACAGGATTGAGTCATTTTAAATGGGGAGTGTAAGAAGGGCTGATCCAGGGGTCGTGTTAATTCTCACATTATTGCCTTGTAGTTTCTGATAGTGTGATAGCAAAGGGCTGGCAGAACCCATTTGTTGAGGCATAGCCATGCAATCACACTGATGCATGGCACTCAGGGCCAAAAGCTGTGAAAAGACCTGCAGAAGTGCAATAGCAATGGAATCATTGGAGTTATTTGCAGTTGAGTTCCTCCACTGCTTATGTAAATACTGACATGCCTTTCCTTTCCATTAACAAACAAAGGGACTTTAAACCCCATTCTCAGATACCCCCTTTACTAGGCCAAATCTACTATGATATTTGTACCAAATGTCTTATGGCAGAGGTTCTCAACCATGGGGCCTAGGTCCATGAGGGCTTTAGAAGAATTCCAGGGTGCCTCAAGATGTTATTACAAAGAAAAGAGTAGTTTATGTTTTGCCAAAATGGTTTTGGAGGGCTGAAAGCTTTTACTAAAATGTCCTGTTAACACTTTTCCAAAGGTGTGTTTTGACTTGTCAGCATCTATTTTTCGTGTACACAATGTGGATAAGCTACAGCAGGTAAACATGTCAGCAGTGTTGACACTAGGGCTGGGTTGACAATATTAATTTCTCAATTTAAAAAATGCTTATATCGAAAACTGATATTGATGCTTAAGTGCCCAAATCAGTCTTCTTGGTTCACACCAAGAACGATAACTATGACGATAACTATAAAGATAGCGATATTAGCGTCCACACCAGTGAACGATATTGTCTGTTTATTTATTGTTGCTTTAAATTCTCGAGCTCGTTACAGCAGGATGGATTCTGATTGGCTGTCAATGTTTTTATCGTTCATCAGCTGGAAAAAAAAAATCGTTTTGAAAGTGATTCCAACCATATCGTTTCTCTGTGCCTTTATCATTAAAGTTGTGGTGTGGACTCTGCTATTGAGAATGATTTTTAGAACTATATCTTTATCGTTATCTTTATAGTTATCGTCCTTGGTGTGAACGGGCCTTAAGTCTATGCTGATGCAATAACAAAACATTACTAAACATAATTTGTAGTGCACCTGCCATGTAATAATTGTTACATTTTATATGAAACAAAGTCTCAGCTTTTATTTAAATTCAAACCATAAATGTAATTTTGGCACAATATAACTATTAGTTATGGCACTAGTTTCAACCGCAGAAAGACTTCAATAAAACAGCTTGTAAATAATGTCAAATAATGTTACCTCTAATTTACCTCAAGAAAGCCATTCAATGTCCATAAATCATTCATTAGAAAAAAATAACTCTAGAAAGAAGCATTTTGCTAAATATATGCACTGTATTACATATTCATATTATTTTTTTATATACCTGGGTAACGTCATTGTATCATCAAAAAGTGGATATGAAAACGTGCTAATGTGCAATTTAAACATTTGTATATAATTCAATTTTGTTTTAAGTGTTAATTATTAAACACATTTAATTTGTTAACTGATTATTAAATAAACATTATTTTCAGGTTTAGCTAAATGAAAACATTAATTTTGGTTTCTGTAAAATGACTTATTAGACAAAGACTTGATAAAACAAAGCATGCATTAAAATAAGCTAAGTCAACTAAAAATAAAGATATCTCTTATTTAAGTTCACCCCCTCAACAACGTTTCCCCCTGATCTTTAAGGTATGAGTGATTTCCTGAGAAACACCACAATAGCAGGTTGCTGTTTTCCACTTTTTTTTCACAGTCCATGATGTTTGCTAATTAAAATGTATATCTTGACAAGATAAACCATAATTCCTTACAGTTTTATCTGAAATACAACATATACAATACAAAAAATAAATGAATGAATGGATGGATGGGTGGATGAAGGTGCAACTGTCCATAAATGGTTGTATACAAAACACCAGAAAATTGTGGGAAAATGTGTATTGATCCATGCAAAAGCAAAAGTAAAAGTAAAAAAAAAAATAGACAGTTTATAGTTCATAGATATCTACATAACTTATTACTAACTGCTCCCATAAGACAAAAAAAAAATCTAAATTGTTCAAATATTTTAAGCCACTAACCTGGCAAACGTTTGGCAAATCCAGTGATTATTTCATCATTAAAAGCACTCCAGGTGTCAGTCCAGTACCTTGTAAACATGACTTTGTTTCCTGGTGGACTGATCAAAAAAATGCTGTGACCCCTTACTATAGGAAGTTGTGTAAAGCCAGCCAATTAGATTAGAGCTCTCAAGATTGAGAAAGTACTTCCTAGTTTTGTAAGCAATATGCATCAGATGATTAGCAAACAGATTGTGGGAGGGCTGTCTGAGGCGCAGACTACGGCTATGATAATAAACTGATAAAATGGTAGTCCCTTCTTTGTACAATGATGTCTTGTTGTACTTACGCCATCAGCTTAGGGGGAGGATGCAACATGCATGCCTTGGTCTATATTTAGCTGCTTTGCTTTTAGAACTGCTGGAGCATCCAGGCATCAGAATGGTGCTCTGGGAATGTGTGGTGATTCCAGACTGAGCTTTCTCCGCTTGGCAACATGCTCACTGAGGTACATGGATGCAGTGAAAGCCTTCGGAATATGAGGATAGATATGCAGCTAACACACATAGATGGTTCATACAACATCACATATTTATGCCAGATTGTAGTATCACATGTTGCTCTTATATGTACAGCTTGCTTTGTATAAGTCAAGTTTAATTTATGTCAG